CTGTGAGATTAATAGATTTTTCATTTGCATCCTCCAATAAGAAAAATCATTCTTCCCATTGAACTTCTCTAACTCATACTTCCCAACTTTAACCGTTCCGCTTGTAGATGCCATTTACCCGCTTGTTTCAGAATCTGCCTCTCTCAGGACTTTTATCGAACACCTTGTGTGCAGAACACAAAATACCACCTAAATACCTCAAATCTGAGCTCTACCACCCGGATTTGATATTAAGCTCTGATACCAATTGTTACTTCAGCAAAACAATGCAGAAAATAAAAGAATCCAAATGTAGCAAAATAAACCTTGACAGCAATTAACCTTTCTATTTGTATTCCCGTTTTGCCCTTAGACCCAAGAACAAGCAATGACAACAACCAAGATAAATAAAGTAAATAGAGAATGAAGAACAACAGATTTAACGTGGTTCAGCAATAACCTGCTTACATCCACAGAAGAGAGAAACCTTTTGTATTAGGTTAAGAAGCAATTTACCTCACTTATTATCCTCTGTTACAAGACTTACGTTCCTATCTCTCTCTACAACTGAAATTAGCATATAAGCAACATACATGGGCCTACAAACAGTTGGGGTATTAACTGGGCCATTTAACTCAAAACAGTTTGGGCTGACCCAAGTCAACTCAAGCTAACTTCTTGGGCTGACCACTTACAAGTACAGAGCAGTGGGCTCTGATACCATGTGAATCATCAAAAGTTTTCCTGTCTATCATTAAGAAATGATACACTATAAATAGAGATGCAAACTATGTAAGCCTACAACTATTTAAGGATAGATAGCTAAGTTACACGAATTACAATCAAATACAGAATAAACTACATAAATAATATTTTGACTAATAGGTCGGCGACTGCCACTATTTCACGGCTACAATTCATGTATTGTTCATCGGTTACTGTTCATAAATACTATTCACGTACTGCTCATAAATTACTGTATACCGAGATTTTGGTATCGTTCAGCTTTTGAGTTTTCTGATTAAGTCAACTTGTGAGTGTTCTGTTTATGAGTTTTTCAATTTGGGCACCCTGTGAGTGCTCATTGGTTCTTTTGCCGACATCGTGTGGAATTCTAATCTGATTCTCGGAGAGATTAGAAAATGACTATGAATTGTCAAGAAATTCCTATTTCTAGTTCTGGTTCTGAGATTATACTTGAAATTCATGCTTCTGGTTCTACTTCTAGTTTTGGTCTGTTACTATTACTATATTTGCGAAACAGAATTCTTGATTTTTTGGATATGAAAATTTACATTCGTTGGTGGACGCTTTGCGGAGACGGTCAACTCTACTAAATGTTTGTTACCTTCTACCTCCAAATGGATCATCAATCCAGGTGCTTCAGATCACATGACATGTAATCATCATCTTCTATCTGATTTACACACTCATACATTGACATCCCACGTTACCATTGCTAATGGGTCTACCCCTCAAGTTCTAGGATCTGGCACAATTCATCTTGCCATTCTCTGTTTAGCCTCCCTAATTTCTCATTTAATTTGCTATCGGTTAGTAAAATTACTCATGGATTGAATCGTAGTGTCACCTCTTCTCTGATCATTGTGTATTTCAATATCTTTCAACAAAAGAAATAATTGGTAGAGGACAAGAATCTGGTGGACTTTATGTATTTGAACCGGAGGTATCGAAATCCCTAATAGGATTGATGCCATTATCTACGTTTGAAATACATTTTCATTTAGGTTACCCATCTCTTCAAAATTTGAAGAAATTATTTCCTCAATTTAGTCATTTATCATCCCTAAATTGTGAGTCTTGTCAACATGCTAAACATCATCATGTTCACTTGAGCCCTAGATTAGAAGTCCCTCAAGTTTGTTTTCCTTGGATATTATCACCTTCAGAAAGGTTATATGTTTTTTTCTCCTACACTCAATCGTTATATCATTTCACGAGATGTCAGTTTCCTAGAGAAAGTACCATTTTTTCCGATGACCAACACTTGTGATCAAGGAGACAATGACGATTTGTTGTTGTACATTATACATGTTTCTGAATTGAATGTAGAGTCTCCCATTCCATCCAAATATGAGCACCCATCAGAGCCTGTAAGACCGCCCATAATTCATGTGTATAGTAGGCAACGAAAACCTACATCAACTCCCGGTCCGATAAAATCTTCATCTACAAGTCCAAGTATTGATCATCCTCCTGCTACGAGTGATCCACGATCTTCTGATACATAGGATCCTGAACTTGATGTTCCCATTGCCATAATGAAAGGGGAGCGTTCATGTACTTACCCTATATCCTCTTTTGTTTCTTATGGTAAACTATCTTCAACTTCACGCACGATAATCTCTACACTTGATAATATAACTATTCATCAAACGGTTGGTGAAGCTTTGAACCATTCTAGATGGCGGGATGTTATGATTGATGAGATCAATTCTCTTGATCAAAATAATACATGGGATTTGGTAGACTTACCTGCAAGTAAAAAGGCAATAGGTTTCAAAATGGTTATTGACTGTGAAACTCAATCCATATGGATCTGCAACTCGTCTAAAGGCACACTTGGTTGCTAAAGGATATGCTCACACTTATGGGGTAGACTACCCCGAGACATTTTATCATGTAGATAAGGTATCTTCCATTTGATTATTAGTTTCATTACCTGCTACTTATGATTGGGTGGATGTGAATAATGCCTTCTTGCATGGTGATTTACATGAGGAAGTTTATATGGAAAAACCACCTAGGTTTGTTTCTCAGGGGGGGTATGTCAGAGTTTGTAAATTACGTAAATCACTGTATGGTTTAAGTCAATCCCATCGGGCCTGGTGTGGACGGTTTAATGATGTGGTGACACAGTTTAGCTTACGAAGAAGCTCTTATAATCATTATGTTTTCTTTGCTTTATCGTCTTCTGGATACATTCAATTAGTGGTATATCTTGATGACATAGTGATTACTGGGAGTGATGAAATTGAGATCAAGAAGCTGAAAGATTTTCCTTCATCTCGGTTTCAAACAAAGAACCTAGGTCCTATAAAATACTTTTGGGGAATTAAAGTCTCTGGTACTCGAAAAGAGATTTGTTTGTCTCAGCGGAAATATTTCTTGAATATTTTGAAGGATTCTGATATGATTGAAACACTTGCGAGTCACAAATGATTCCAAATATGAAATTGAAAGTAGATGAAGGAGATCCACTTGAGAACCCGTAGAAATATAGAAGAATTGAAGGAAAATTAAACTACCTGACGATTACACGTCTAGACATTGATTTTTCGGTGAGTGTTGTAAGTCAGTTTATGTCATCTCCACGAACCTCTCATTGGGATGCGGTTAGTCATATTCTAAAGTACTTAAAGGGTGCTCCTTGTCATGACATCTTATATCGAAATCATGGTCATCGAAGGGTTCAGCGATTCCGACTGCTAGGCGGTCCACTACATACTGTTGTGTGTTTGTCGAAGGAAATCTAGTTTCATGGAAACATAAGAAACAAAATGTCGTTTCACGGTCAAGTGTTGAATCTGAATATCGGGCTATGGATCAGAGTACATGCGACCGGTATGAAATCTACCGGATGAACTTGGTTTAGCTCAATCGAAACCAATGAACTTGTATTGTGATAATGAGGCGGCTATCCATATTGTAAATAATGTTGGGTTTCACGAAAGGACTAAATATATCGAAGGAGACTGCCATTTCACACATGAAAAGCTAGAAGATGGAACCATCTCTACTCCCCACGTTCAAACATGAAGTCAAGTAGCTGATGTACCAAAGCTTTTCCTGGTTCGCGGGTCTCTGCTATTTGTAACAAGTTGGGCATGATTAACGTCTATGATCCAGCTTGAGGGGGAGTGTTAAAATGTAATTATTACATATATTAGTTTTAGCCTAATTAGCCCATGATCCCGTAGGGTTTCCTTTGTTTAGGGATCCTGTCTCTATTTATAGTCTTGTACCTCTTCCTTGTAAATAATATAATCAATAAGGTATTTTCATTATCAATCTATTATTGTTTACAATATGCTTAGTCACTTACTCTTTTCTTAGCCCACTGAAATTGGAAGTCTTGAACCCTCTTCGACGCTCTTCAAGCCACCATTTTTTAGATCTGGTCACCGATTTCTAGATCCAGCCACCGAGCCTAGCACCAAAACACTGAAAACCTCTTGACCGTTGTCGTGACGCTGCCATCAAACATAAACACCCTTCTTCCTCTCTCTCTCTCTCTCTCTCTCTCTCTCTCTCTCTCTCTCTCTCTCTCTCTCTCGNTCGATCTGAGTTTTTTTTTTCTCCAAGTCATGTTTCAAAAATAGATAGAGTAGAAATTTTTGAAAAGCATCTCTTTAATCTAGGATTTATAGAGAGGGAGGGAAAAGAAAGTCAATTGTATGTTGGAGTTCCTGAGTTAGAAAGAAAGTAAAGGAAGATTAGCAAACAAATACCCCTTGATAAGCCTACTTTCTTCCAAATCCCTCCAATTGCAGAGGAATATTACAGAGAAGATCATCCTTTATCTTCTCTTCTATTCTCTCCAATTCATTTCAAAAAATAATCGCGGGAGCAAGATAATGCCTCTCTTCTTTCTGGTTCTCTTCTCTTTTTAAGTTGAACTCGGGAACAAGGTGGAAAAGCTTATCTTTCTTCTCTTTTTAAGTTGAACTCAGAAACAAGGTGGAAAAGCTTATCTTTGGTCTGGGTTTCTTGTTGAAGTTTTTGAGAAGTGGGTTTTCTAAGTTTTTACAACTCTACTTTGTCCCCTTAAATTTGTTAAAAGTTGAATTTGACCTTCTTCTTTGTACATTCGATTTTCATTTTAAGCATATGGGCTTGATTTACATTAGGTTTGAAGTTCATTCTTTGCATCTGCATTTCATATACTGGGTAGTGGAAATAATGGTAGGTATAGGTGGAGGTGGTACCTGGTGGTGTCAAATTCTGGTTCGAATGGTTCGATGTGGTATTTTTTCCGGTGGAATATGTGGTGATGATTTACTCGCGTGGCAAAGGTGATGTTGATTTACTCTGGTGGCATAGGCGGTGGTAGTTTACACTAGAAATAGAGGAACCAAATGGGTGGAATATGGAAGGGATTAAGGTTGTGGATGTGTAATTTACTAGGTTAAATATAAACACATGAGAAGTTGACAAAGATAACCACTTCCCTACCCCTCATGCCAAAAACTAACCAAAAAAAAACATAGTTTCCGAAAATGACCAAGCAGCCCGCAGAGAGGCCTTTGTGGAGCCACGTGTCATCAACCAATGGTCTCTCTCTCTCTCTCTCACTTTGTTTTTTTGTCATAATTTTTTTCCTTTGTAAAAAAATTCCGAAAACACTAAAGTTCTTAAAATTTAAGTCTCTACAAAATGAGTATAGTGATGAAAACTTGAAAAAATAGTTTTTATTTTTATTATTTCTATAAAAACCAGAACAATTTACCTTCAAATAAAATAAAATTTTAAGGGATTCTATTATTGACTATATTAGTAATTTCTTAAAAAGAAAAGGTTATTATTCAACGTGTTTATTATCCTTAATTTGTTATGATTTAAAAAATGTGATATCATTCAAAATGTTATGATCCAAAATGTTATGAACCAAAATTTGTTATCAACCAAAATATATCGTAAAAGACTTTACTTGGGTTAAAAATGATTTGATCCTAAAATATAATGATTTAAAATATTTATGATTTTAAGTTTTGATTAAAAGTATTATAATTCAAAGTCGTATGATCCAAAATTTGTTATAAACAAAGTCTACAACAAAAATTAAAAATATATATATTTTGGTTTTTATATAAATAAAATTTAAAAAATAAATCTTTTATCAAATTTTCATTACTATGCCCATTTTGTAGATAATTAAATTTTAAGAACTACCGGAAATTTCAGAATTTTTTGTAAACAAAAAAAAGTTATGATAAAAAAAGTGGGGGAAGCCACCAGATGACATGTGGCTCTACAGAAGCCTCTATGTGGGCTGTAGAGGAGTCTCTTCGGACTGGGTGGTCATTTTTGGAAACTATATTTTTTGGTTATTTTTTGGCATGAGAGGTACGGAAGTGGTTATATTTGTCAATTTCTCTAAATAAATAACATTAAATTAAAAAGGACATACATAAACAAAAAAAAATTAAAAACAAATAAATAAGGGTAATATATTCTTTTTTATGTCTGACAGAGATTAATGATGCTACAAAAACATGTAGTAAGTTAAAAAAAAAAAGTTAGGGGCCAAGTCCCCTAACCATAGGGACCATCCGTGTAATTTACTCTTTTTTTTCACAAACAATTACCATGTGTGGTGTATGATTGTCATTTCTATAATAATAATAATAATAATCTATTGTTAATCTCTTCAAGTGACACACTGTTACTAATATATATTGCTTTCATTAGAGTTCAAGCCTCCAACTCATGGCAAAAAATATACGTTTGTCATCATTGGAGCGGTGGCAGCATTTTTCTGCCTCGGTCTCATAGTTCTTGGCATCGCATGGAAGAGGGGTTACGTAGGGGACCAAAATTCAAGAGAAAAAGGTGTTTGATTGCTAGTTAATTAAAATTTTGCCATGTACTTGTTTGTAGTTTGTGAAGTACATTTATTTCATTGGTAAAATATTCTTTCCCTGTAGACCTAAGAGGATTGGATTTGCAGACTGGTGCATTCACATATAGACAAATCAAGGCAGCCACTGACAAGTTTGCTGATTCAAATAAACTTGGGGAGGGTGGTTTTGGATCGGTTTACATGGTAACATTGTACATGCATTAAATTTTCTTTTTGACAATTCACATTGTGAAAAATCTACAGAACTTCACTTGGAACGTTTTCTGATGTAAAAATATAAAATATGAAAGAAAATAAGAATCACATTGAGAATACATCTACTTCCTAATCTAATTCATCAATTACAGGGTACCCTATTAGATGGAACTCCAATTGCTGTGAAGAAACTCTCTTCGAAATCAAAGCAAGGAAATCGTGAATTTGTTAATGAAATAGGCATGATAGCCGGTATACAACACCCAAATGTTGTAAGGCTATATGGCTGTTGTGTCGAAGGCAACCACCTTCTCCTTGTTTATGAGTACATGGAGAATAATTCTCTAGCACATGCGCTATTTGGTATTCTCCTTTCAATCTTCTTCTTAAGTAGCAACTCCCTCACCCTATACGAAATTTGAAGTTTATATTTCACTTTGTACATTAAATATGTAATCATTAGTCAAATTTGTAAAATAGTAAAATATTGTTTAGTAATGGACCAAAGTCAGAGCTCTCAAGCATAGACTCAACCCACCAACCCAACCAAATTAACTTGACTGGCTTAATTGAGATTTTCAATTCGTTTAATTATTAAATAGGTCGACCCACTCAGCCCATTTAATCAAATAGGTTGTGTTAGGTTTAAAACTTTTGAATTGTTTCCAGCCTGCCAATGCATTCAAATACATATTTATTGTTATTTTATATATTATTTTTATCTTATAAATTATAAAATACAAAAACAAAACTCCAATGTCTTAGAAATTTAGAATGTTGTCTCGATAATTAGGTTGTAGTTATATACTTATTTTATCTGCAACTTTGAACAATTATTTGGGTTTGTTACTATTTTAACTAAATGAGTCAATCTAACATTTTTTTTTTCTAAACTTTGAAACTTAAATGAGTCAATCTAGGGCAATCCATTTATCTAACAGACTGGGTTGAGAAAAAGAAATGGGTCAACTTGATCAGGTCAATCCTTTTATCTAGGGATCTGGTTGAGCTGGAAATCTCAACAGTTTAATTAAACAACTTGGGGTGCATCGATGAAACTCGCAACCTGTTTATTTGAATATAAACAGGTCAACCTGCACCCACCCAACATGACCCATTTCCGGTTTAACCAAAACCAACAACATGAATATTATAATAACGATAGGTAGCTATAGGTTTGAAAAATTGCAAAAGAACGAAATGTTACAAATTAAGTTGGACATCCCAAAGTGTAAACTATGTCGTCTTTATTTCCACAAAGAGAGTCTCTCTTCCATTTACAACAAATTTCTAAATTTAAGATTTAAAATGCATTTATGAAATATCAGAGCACAATAACTCTAAATTGGAAAGTGATTGGCCTACAAGACAAAGAGTTTGTGTTGGCATTGCAAAAGGTTTGACATTCCTGCATGAGGATTCGGTGCTCAAAATGGTTCATAGGGACATCAAGGCTTCAAATGTACTCTTGAATGCTGACCTTACACCAAAGATCTCAGATTTTGGTTTGGCCAAACTTGATGAAGAAAAAAACACTCACATTACCACTAGAGTTGCTGGAACTATGTCAGTAGTTGTCTTGTTGTTCCTTTTCTAATATTATAAAGCTTATTTTACTTTTAGTTATACATTTGCTCAATTTGCTTTTGGTACTCACAGAGGGTATATGGCACCAGAATATGCATTATGGGGCTACTTGACCTACAAAGCAGATGTATACAGTTTTGGGGTTCTTGCTCTAGAAATTGTTGCAGGAGAGAATAATATTAAATATCGGCCAACTGAAGATTATTTTTGTCTTCTTGATTGGGTAAACCTGTTTATAAAAGAACCATAGTTCGATTTTTCCCCACAAATCCCAACTTATTGACTTATCTGTTTCTCCTTTCTAAGGCGGTTGTTCTGAAACAAAAGGGGAGTTTGATAGACTTGGTGGATCCAAGATTGGGCTCCGGATTCAACAAAAAAGAGGCAGTGAGGATGATCAAAATTGCTCTATTATGCACTAATAAGTCCCCGGCTCTTAGGCCTACCATGTCTGAAGTAGTTAATATGCTTGAGGGTCGTATGAAAATCAAGGAACCAAACATGAAAGTAACTTTGTCTGAAGAGGAGCTTGTGATTGGAGAAATTGGAGGGACGATTAAAGAGATGAAACCTCATGAGTCTGTTCAAACAGTGATTTCTATTGAGGCAACAGCTTCCAGCTCAAACAGCCGGCCTGTATCCCAATAGTAAAAAATTCTGAAAAATGTTGACATGTACTAGAGTAAGCATTAGTATCAAAGTCAAGTTCTTTATACTACTATAAATGAGATGTTTATATTTCATTTTAAGGATTTTGAATATCTTGCTGTAACACTAATACAGTATATATGAAGCATCTAGTTATATACATGTGTGCATAGAAACAGTCTTTTTGAAAAAAATTGTTTGATACATTTCATCAAATCTTGGTTGGTTGTACAAGAAATTTGCCTTCAGAGGGGGTGAGTGTCTGAGTGGGTGATGTGTTAAATTGTTAATGGTTGACGGTGGTGGTTATTATGTTCACAGTGAAGATGGTGAGAGCGACGGTTCTCTTGGCAATGGTTCCAGTGGGGTATAGGTGGGTCCTACCTGATAATAAAAAATAAATAAGAAAAATTAATAGGAAAGACAAAACTATCGGGTGTAAGTTTTAGGGACCAAATCTTTTCTTTTCTTTTCTTTCTTCTTTCTATGCTAATAAATGAGTATTTTTTGTGCCACGTGTCACTCTATTAGCCTTTCTCAGAAATTTTTCCCGTTTACGTATATGGTCATCAACTCTATCAATTCTTATTCCATTCATTTAGATAACACACATCCCATAAAATCAGCAACTAAATCATAGAAAATAATAAAATCAGCAACTAACTCGCAGAAAATCTTGGTTCCATAATGTATTGCTGATTTATCAAATGAATCCCTATCACACCCATCTCATTTGAATTCAAAATTCGAAACCACCTCTCTCTTTTCTATTAATCGTTTTTTTTTTCCATTGAAATAGGTGAATTCGATCAGACGTGCAGATACTTCATCTTGAGATTTTACTCCACCACTGTTGGACCTCAATCACCACCAGCAACCACCACACCTCCATATCTCTTTCTCTCACTCCCTACACTTCCTAAATCCATTTCCCTATAATCATATTCAGTCTCCAACATACAAGTTTCGAACTCCACGATACGAACAAGAATAATACATCCGTGCCCCTTTCTCTTCACCAGCTTCTGACTTTTAGACCTCTACATATTGAGTTTTTTTCAGTCAAAAAGGTAATTCCAGACTTCTCAAAACTTGATGAATGATGAGTTTTTCTTTTCTATTTTAACTTCACTTACCCCTGTTCTATAAAAATTACAACGACATTTTTTCTTGGTATTTGTGAGTTATAATTACCAATTTGTGCATTAAATGTGGCATTGTTATTACTGTAAGGTTGTAAAGAGCATTGTTCATTTGAAATGTTAGACATTAACGTTCCAATTTGTATACTGGTGCAACTGTGCAAGAAGCTTCAATGATCCTGAAATGGTTAATTTTAGCAGAGGAGACATGCCTATTGGGCTTTAACCCTCCTGACATGGTTGTAGAGTTACACCAAAGAAGGGATTCAATCCTGGAAGAATCTTTGGCAACTCATTTTAAATAGAAGCACTGTAAGACAAAAGAACACCGTGGAATGTTTCATTGAAAATGCCAAAACAAGTCCGTTTCAAAGGATTTTCGATCATAGTGACAGGTAAAAGGCAACAAAATTTTGATTATAAGCCTTACATATTTCATAATGTTAACTGCCAATTTTGATGGAAAAACATAAATAAATTAATAAAAAAAAAGTCATGTAATGAAGTAATGAACTTTTTTCTAACATCTTGGGTTAATGGATCCTTGAACAAAAAGTCAAACCTTTCCGATTGTGACAATGAGTTTATATTTGAAGGGCCATAAATTTAACTTAACAATTCAGTTGAATTGGGTAACGAACACGAAAAGAGATTGCATTAATGGTGGTAGAGGTTCACCGCACTCTACGTCCAAATTCACTTTGGTGGATTGTCGGACATTAATGCATGGAATTAATTGATGGCTAGAACTCTATATATAGAGTTAAGTGAACCAAAGAAAAAGATATAGAAAAAGACACACCATATAGAAAAGATAGTGAGGTAGATTATTTTTGTGCCTAGGGTAAGGAGTAACTCTCTCAAATGAGAGGTCATGGGTTCAAGTCTCATTAGCAGACATAGGTGCTGCTTAGGATTAGATTAGGACTAGGATAGTTTGCCATTTCAAAAAAAAATTATTTTTGTGCAGAGTTTTTCGTTTGACAGACAAAAATACGAGTTATACCTTACGGTGAGTGTAACACCCGTAAATTTGGGCTAGGCATTTAAGATATAATATAAGTTTCGTACTAAAGTTTATATTATTTCTTGAAACGATTACATAGATATTATGCCTCTTATATTAGGCTACATCACATGATACTATATAGCTACTTTGTTGATCCTTGCTTCTAATCCTTTGCGTTGTCACCTGCTTCATCAAGGATCATCTGGAATGCTCTCGCCTTCGGCCTTGGTGGTACGTTTGGCCTTGTAGCTCCTTCTCTATTTGGGCAATCTTGCTTGAAGTGTCCTTCTTCACCACACTTAAAGCAAACTTCTCTCTTGGTTGTGCATTCGTTGGCATAGTGACCAGTCTTCCTGTATTTGAAGCAGGTAACCTCTTTAGAGCATCTCCCAATGTGCTTCCTTCTGCACTTGTCACACCACTTTTCTTCATTACTATTCCCATACCTTTTGTTGTTGGGGTCAGACTTCAGGAACCTATTTTTCTTGTCGGATCTTGAAGACCCCTAAAACTTCCTCTTCTCGCCAACTTCGGCTCTCCAGACCCTTTTCCGTATCTGGGTCTCGACACTCTTAGCTGCTCTAACGACTGTCTTCAAAGTAGTTGACATTTTGACCATTGGGCCAAAGTCCGTTGGCAATCCGTTAGCAAACATATCTATCTTGGAGAGTTCAGTAGGCACCAAGTAGGGGAATAGCTTCATCCTCTCGGTGAATGCGGTGGCATACTCATCAAGACTCATCTTCCCTTTCTTCAGGTTCTGAAACTCGTTGTTTAGGTATATCAGATCTATCACTGAGCAGTATTGCATTTTCAACTGATCCATGAATACTTCCCAAGACATCCACATGGCTTCTCCCCGTTGCATTGTATCTCCCAACAACTTCCACCAACTTAAAATTTCGGTCTTTAGTTGTCTGACTGCAAAGACGGTCTTTTGCTTATCGTTGCAGTTGCAACTTTCAAATACAATTTTCATCTCGGAGATCCAGTCCATAATTTCCACTGGCTTTGGGCTTCCAGAAATACTTAGTGGTTTGGCACCCATGAAGTTCTTATACATGCGCCCATCTCTGTCAATCCTTCTGTCCGGGTCGTTCCCCCTGACCACTCAGGGTCCAAATTGACTCACAGTACGGCTGTAATTTCCCTCCTCTGACAGTTCTTCATTTAGTTCGGGCTGCACAATAGGCACAATAGGTTCATCCCTTTTAAGCAACATTTATCTAATCTTCTCCCTTTGTTCGACCATCATAGCCCAAATCATTGCTTGGACTCCTGCCATCGTGATTAGCCCGGGTACAGCTGCTACCTCTGGTGCACGCTCAATCACAGGCTCCTGATTAGCATTAGCATTTCCATTAGCATTTTCGAATCCGCTTCCAGTTCTCACCATGTCGATCTATAAACCAAATCAGACGTTCGGTGTGCAGTGACGAGAATTAAGATAGGGAAAGCTTTGTTTACGATTGACATATAAATCTCCTTATCATTTCGAAAAGTTACATGGTAGTTCTAATACCGTAATTACACGTTTAGAAATCTGAACATATAAAGTTTCTAGATACGGTCGGCAATAGACAATAGATTTGATCAAACGATATCATCATAAAGCATCACAAATCGTTTACTACCTAAAAGCATTTTAGACATCTTCCCTAAATAAGCTAGTGCTTGTGTCTATTCACGTGTACTACCTAAAATATATTAGACACACTCCTCACGATCATCGCTTAGCATTCTAAGTTTATGTCAAGAAATAAATCATTAATCCTAGTTCGCTTAAACTAATGCTCTGATACCAACTTTGACATCCCCAAATTCACGGTCATTTTAAAAATTATATTTATGGTTATTTGAAAATAAGAGTATTCCTTTTAAATAATAATATTGCGGAATTTGTTCCCAGAAAACATGATAAATATTTTATCAAAGCATTTTTGAAGAAATGCATTTTTGTTTATATTAAAACTTTGGGACGTCGTCGTCAATACATAAGCATAAGCATAAAAAGACCTTACACTCATTTACACTAGTGAATTACATCTCCTTTAATCTCTCAGTCTAATGTAGCTTCGTATCTATATCTATCATACAAATAAACTGAGTGGGTCAGGTTGGGAAATCTGGTGAGTACATAGGGATTACAATCCCACAATGCTATATTAT